AGGGAGCCCGATGCGGGGCTCGATCCCAGGACCCTGGGATCATGACCTGAGCCGAAGGCAGACGCTTAAAGACTGAGCCACCCAGGCGCCCCAAGCTAATATGATTTCTAAAAGGATTTTTAAAAGTCTGTTTTATACTTTATGTTTAATTAAGTGCCATTATATTCATAAAAGTCACATAGAGTTTGAACTGGACTGGTACTTACTGATCATCTTGGCTAGTGATTCTCAAATTTGAGCATGCATCAGAATCATCTGAAAGGCTTGTTAAAACAGACTTGGGTTTCTAATTCAGTGGCTGGGGTAGGCCCTGAGAATTTGTGTTTCTAGCAACTTCCCGGATGATACTGATGCTGCTGGTCAGGGATCTTACTTTGAGAACACCTGATCGGGGCCCACCCTTAAATTTACAGATAGAGAAGCTGAATCCCTAAGAACTGAGGTGACCTGGCCAAAGGCCCAGCTAGAACCCAGTGCTGTCACCACCCAACAGTCGTTGCACATCATCCCACACTTTCTCTGCCTTTCATTTAAGAGTGAAAGCTATTGAGGATTTTAGTGTTCGAATCTAATATTTGCTGTGTGTACTTTTTCTCTCCTTGTAGGATATTATTAGTACTGAATTTATCCATAAACTTGAAGCTCTGCTGCAAAGAGCATATCGTCTCCAAGAGGAGTTTGAAGCTACCCTGGGGGCATCTGATTCTAATTCCCTTGTTAATGATATCGGTAAGATGGTATTTTATATGGTTTTTATGAAATGTGTGAAAATTTTCTTTTATATTCTTGGAATCATTTGCTTAAGGGTATTAATATGATTACATATTTTTTAGAAAATAGTAAGAGAAAAAGGTTCTATCATATTTACTGGTTTTTTTCTTTCAGTTTTATTTTTCTAGAGTGAACTGAATGCCCTTAAGATTTAATGTCAAATGCTTACCATAGGTAGGATTGGGACTTTGTTTTAAAATTATTTTCTAAGGGAAGGAATCCCAGTCCAAGTGTTGGAGAGAGGAAGAAAATAAACAATAATATAAAAATGGGACAGAGACACATCTCAAAAATATGCATGTAGTTCATGGCATACATTTAAAATATTTTAAGTAATTCTATTTCTTGACCCCGTTTTAACTGCAGGCTAGATTTTCATATCAGCCCTCAGGACATGCATTATTATATACCATTTTATTTTATATTTTCAAGAGAAAAGAACTTAGGAAAAGACTTCTTAAGTGACGTCTTCAAAGGGATGAATGATTAAAATTGCTTCCTTGAATTCTGTAAATGTTCCAAAGAATGAAGACAAAATTACATTGCATCTCTTTTTGGTAAAAATACATATTTTTTAGGTTTGAGGGGAATTGTTATTTAGGTAAAAGATTTCATTTGTATTAGAATTAAGAATTACTGTGTAGGGGTGCCTGGCTGGCTCAGTTGGAGGAGCGTGTGACTCTTTAGGGTCATGAGTTCGAGCCCCCTGTCGGGTATAGGGATTACTAAAAAAAAACTTAAAAGAATTATTGTCTATATGTCATAGTGTTATATGAAGCCTCTTTGTATTATTTTGCTCTTTCCTTTTTCATACTGTATTGTCAACAAAATTATTCATTAGGCTTGAGTATTTTTTAATAGTTTCTCTGTTCTTATCATAGATGGCATAATGTTTTGACATGTGGAGGTTACAGGGCAGAAAAAAAGTAGACAGTATTCATGTCAACAAATAGAATTTTTCAAAGCCTTCTTTTTATATTTATAGTTTTTTCTACACAGTTTCTTTTATAACTTACTATAATGACATTTAGAAAGGGCAGAGAGAAGGAATTTTAAAAGAATTCAAGTGTAACAATGGAATGGAACAACTGGAAAAAGATAGGAAAGTAGTTAAGTGGCAAGGAAAACCACAGAGAAAAAGGAGTAGGAAAAAATTATAAGGAGGGGAGAGGAAAACGGCCCCAAGGCTTAATGTCTAATTCTAGGAATAGAGGCTTTGCCCTCACTGTTCTAATAGTCTGCCTACAATTTCTTTCCAGCCTCATGGTAGGGATCATGTAGGTGTGTAGTTCTTGTATTTGTTACTCTTGTAACGTGCATCTCAGATTTGACTCTGTTTAGCATGCCCGAAGTTTCTTTTTTCCACTGACCATGGAGGTTGGCAAAGTCCATCTCTGATTTTTTTTCAGGTTATCAGGTTATAAAGATTTCTTAGGTGCTGCCCCAAAAGGTCTGCTTTGGGTTCACATTGTTCTGGACAAGAAGTCCCCTAGGCAGATGGCTTAATTTCTAGAGCCTTCAGGTTGTTTCTGAGTAAATTGTTAATTTGGAACTCTAAATGGATAGGATTTCTACAGTGGAACCCATAATCAATCCATAAATTTGGTTAGCTTAGGTTTGGAATAAATTCCCAACCCAACCCATGTCTTAACCTGGGCTGTCACTGGCTTCTAAGCTGACTGGCTTTTTCCTGCAGTGCCTTGGCCTGTTATTGCCCTGAGGATTCCAGTTGACATGAAGCTGTTATATTTTGTTCCTTCTTGGGAGTTCTTTGGAAATTGTTCTCTTTTTGAAAGTTTCCATTTTTGAACTTCTGGACTGAAACAACTCAATCTATGGTCAGGATTCTGGTAGGAGAGTACCTCTGTTATATCTGTTGGTTGATACTGATCAAAATTGCTTAGAAGTAAATTAGCTCTCCTCATTCTCTAAATCCAAATTCATTTTACACATTTAATTTATATTACTGGGAGGCAACTTATGGCTAATAGTCATAAGTAAAGATGTTAATAAGTAACTTCAGAGGTTCAGGAGTGAATTTAAACCAAGTATTGATCTTATTTCAGTGAATACTTCACTGTTTTGGAATTTATTTTGTCTTATTTGATGAAATTATATATTTTTTTCTCTTAAGAATTTGATAGGTTTTCAAGGTTAGAAGATTCCTCAGCAGTCATCTAATTTATCTCCTCTCCCCTCTGTCCTGTACTTAATAACTAACACCTGCCATTGCTTGCATGTTACCATGTGCGGGGCCCTTTGCTGAGTTGTAGTTTCTTCTTTCCCTGAGGTACTACACTGAGTGAAAATTATCTCACTTAATCTTCATAACAACTTAATATAAATATAGTGATCATCCTCATTTTTTAGATGGGGAAAGAGGAAAGGCGATAGTAACTTCCCTAGAGTTGCATGGCTATTAAATGACAGAACCCATATTTGGACCCAGGCAGACTAACTTCAGAGTTCATATTCCGAACCACCACACTAGATTGCCTCACTACTTTATAAGACAGATACCTTCCTTGAATGGGATGATTGACTGTGAACTCTGTGAGTAGAGTATGCCTACTGGCAAAGTTCCCTTTAGGAGATGTAATCGTGGAGCAGGCAGCCTGGAAACCCCACAGCTGCTAAAGAAAGGAAACATTTCTTGTGGTAGTAAGTAATTTATTTATTTATTTGTTTGTTTATTTTTATTTTTTTAAGATTTTATTTATTTATTTGAGAGAGAGAATGAGCATGAGCTGGGGGAGGAGCAGAGGGAAAGGGAGAAGCAGACTCCCTGCTGAGCAGGGAGCCTGACTAGGGGGCTCGATCCCAGGACCGTGAGATCATGACCCGAGCCGAAGGCAGATGCTTAACCGACTGAGCCACCCAGGCGCCCCAGTATTTATTTATTAAAAAGATTTTATTTATTTGACAGAGAGAGACATAGCGAGAGAGGGAACACAAGCAGGGGGAGCGGGAGAGGGAGAAGCAGACTCCCGGCTGAGCAGGGAGCCCCATGCGGGGCTCGATCCCAGGACCCTGGGATCATGACCTGAGCTGAAGGCAGACACTTAATGACTGAGCCACCCAGGTGCCCCCAAGGATCATATGCTTTTGTGATTAATTTGTCCAGTAAATAATCAATGAATGACTATTTTGTGCCAAGTACAGTGAACATTACAGTAATGATGGTTCTCACTTAATGAGATTTTACTAGATCTCAGGTGTAGTACTAAATGCTGTGTATTCACTTCATTATTTAACCTTTATAGCAATCCTATGAATTAGGACTACATCCTGTGTTAGTGTTTAAACATAAAGAAAATTGAGATAAGGAAAACTTAAGTGACCTGCTCAGGGTCATATGAGTCCAGGAGATGAGGAGTGTCTTAACTGTTGCATTAAGATGAACTAAGACACAGCGTCTGCCACAGATGAATAGATAGATGGTTAGGGGAGACAGAACTATAAAAAACTAATTACATGCACGAACAATGAATCATGGAACACTTCATCTAGAACTAATGATGTAATGTATGGGGATTAACATAAGAATAAAAAAAAATATCAAATTGAGTTAAAAAAAAAAAACTAATTACAATGTAATGTGTAATTTAATCCTCAGGAAAGGAAGTGCTTATATTTTGTTAAATTTATTTATTTATTTTTAAATTTTTAAAAG